TGCAGAAGATTAGTATTGTGTAGTAGAGTCTTATCAGTCTTTTGTTCTTTCCAAATTGAATTGTAAAGCCGCATGGTTGTGGTCCATAGATGTGAGGATTAGCCTGAGGAAGGTTAGCGTTTCTATTGAAAGCAATTGGAATAGCAATTAGTTGGAGAAGAAGATTTAAGCAATGGATAAATAAAATAGAAAATATAAGAATTACCTGGAGGATACGGTGAAATGAATAGTAAGACACGTTCTAGCTAGTGGTTAAGTTCAAGCGTTCCTATATCTTCAATCAAGTTGGAATGTTGCTCAATGAATGCAACGTTGTATTTGTAGGTGTAGTGCTTATCATCTCATTGTAAAGCTGTAGCAGCTTGTGTCCTGTCTCCAGAACTTGTAATTAAGTAGCACTTGTATAATTTTTTTTATCTTTGTGGGATAATTCTAGTGGTCATTGTCTAGGAAGTGAATAGATGATTGTCCATAGCGGTGCACAGTATATGTGTTGTTACTCTGCTAATATGAACGAGAAATTGTTAGATGCAAGCACGCCTAACAGACGTGAAATCTTCTAGTTTGTGGTGTCCAAAGTCAAGAAATTGTTCGGAAGGTCATTGAAGGTCTTGAGAATGAAGATTGGAAACTTGTTCATCTCATTCAAGTGATGGAAGAGTCGGATGGAGCCATTCGTAGTTAAACCAGTTTCACATTTAATGCTAGATTTATGTTGATGTTAAGTCTTGAATCATTATGTTATTTTTCAGTATTTTAGTGTTAATTTAGTCATTAATTTGTAGTGAAATAATCAGCCAAGTTAAGTCTCAAGTAGGGCCAAATTTAGGGTACGCTTTTCTTGCTAGGTTTTATATTTTGTTAGTCTTTCCAAAGTCGAATTAGGAAGCTTGAATTATTTTCAAATTAGATTAGTCTTAGTAGTTTAGGTTTTAGCTATAAAGAGACTTTTTCTATTCCATTGTAAGGCAGCTTTGAGAGATGAATTAATAAAAAGTGAGTTGTTCTCCTTTTATGGAGTTCCTTGACGGAACGTGAGTTTCTTCTTAAACTATATCAAGTATTTAATTTGGATACTTATGATGTTCAAGGTAAGATGATCACATCATCTTATTCTTTCAAATCAATAACGAATCCACTAGGTCTCTAGGGACGAGTTCACTTTAGATCTAGTAAGGTAGTTATTGTTTCATAACCTGATCAAGATAAATCCTTCCGCTGCCTGATTAACTTGGTTCTTCAAAACAAGTTCTTGTTGGGTCGAGTTCGTATCAGTTGGTATCAGAGATTCGGCTCTTGATCCAGGTTAATATCCTTTTTTTTTCTTTTCTTGTTTTCCTATTTGTTTTTTCTACCAAAACCCTAACCGCATTTTGATTTAAAAGAAACAAAAAAATTTTTTGATTTTTGTTTTCTTGATTTCATTACTTGAATCTAACCTACCCCCTTGATTGATCAAGGTTGAGATTTCTTAGTGTGATTAAGTTCTTGAAACTAGGTTTTTCAAGGGTTTGACTTCCATTAAATTTCTTCCAAGTGAAGTTGCAACCCTATGTTGAGTTGTCAAAAACCAAAAAAAAGAATCGGGTACTGTTCATGTTATTGTAGCGATTACTATTCATTTGTTCCTGTAGCATTGCTGTTCATCCAAATTAAAAAAAAAATTCAGATTATATTTTCCTGTTTGTTCCTTCATTTGTGTCAAATTTTTTTCTTCTTGAATTTGTTTTAGGGTTTAGTTTCATGTTTCTCCTTGATTTGTTCCAGCCATGTTTTGTCCTTTCTTGTGTCTTCAATCTTTGTCTTGTGTTTAATCTTCCATATTTGTGTGTTTGAGTAAAATTTATATATATGGTCGTGTAATCTTCCGTATGGTCATGTAAAATTTATATATATATGGTCGTGTAACTTACCTTGTGTCCGTAGTAGTTCATTAATTTTACTTGCTAGCTGTTTCTTTCTTGTCTTGTTTCTTGCACTAAATTTTGTTGATTCTTGTTGTGCAGGTTGTTGATGGGGAATTCCTGAAGTTCTTGAACAATTTGGTTCAAATCTTTAAGATCTTGAAGGTTCTTGAAACAAAAGAAACAAAGAAAATTTGAATCTTGAAGGTTTTGAGCAAACCTACTTAGTTTCCAACAATTTGTGGCTTGTCTTGTTTCTTGAATGAAATTCTAGCAAAATTAACTTGTGTAATATGTGAAAAGTTTCAAGAAACATCTTTGATAGTTTGGGAAACTTGTTTGATTTGCAAAAGCTTCAAGAAACCAAATCTAGATTCGGTTCCTAAAACAAATCCTAATTGGAATCAGATTTCCTAAAATAGTCACTTTTGTCCTAAAATAGCCAATTTAAGTTTTCGACCAGTTTTTGGCCTGAAATCACCATGTTACCAATATACCATCTTTTTTTATGTACAAAAAAGTTAGATCTCACTTTTTAGTGGTATAAATGAATATGGACCCAGTTTTTGGCCTGAAATCACCATGTTACCAATATACTATCATTTTTTATGTACAAAAAAGTTAGATCTCACTTTTTAGTGGTATGAATGAATATGGACTAGACTCGATCCCCTTTTTTGGGAAAAAAGAATATGGTTATGGTTTGGTCCGAATTTTAATTTTTTAGGGATAAAAATGAATATGGATCGAATTATTTGTTTAATTATAAATGGGATCTAACTTTTTGCTCTTGGAAAAATGATCATATGTTGGTTACATGATGGATTCAAGGTAAAACATAATAAAAAATTTGGGTTGGAATCGAATATTTTTTACTTGATTTTGTAAGGGATGTAAAGTTATTGTTTTAAAAGTGAAGGATAAATAAATTCATTTAGCGAATATTTGAGGAACATTTTGAATGATTTTTTTCCATAAATTTATACAATCTAATTATTAGTGTGTGTAATACTTTTATAAATTCTACAAAATTTTATTAAATATTTCATTGTTGTTTGCCACATAACAGCACTTTCTTAACTAACTTCGGTTTCGTTTGGATTTCTCATTTTTTGAAAAGCAAATTTTTCATATACAATGCTACTGTAATACACAAACAAAAATAACTCCAAAAATATCACATCCATACAATATATCAAAACAACTCCGAATATACAAAAAAAATAAAAAAAACCTACACCGTTTTCTTCTTCTATCTATTACCACCACCACCCTTACCCACCACCGCCACCATCCCCTCCTTTCTCCTCTTTCCTCTCCCTCCCTCTTCCTCCTCCCATCTTCCCTTTCCCCCTAAATTTGGCCTCGACCAAAGACTATGATCTGGCCACGGGGCCGCAATGTCATGACCAAAGAGGGGAAGAGGAGGGGTGAGGCATGGCGGGAGAAGGGGGGAAAACGGAAGCGAGGAGAGGAGGAAAGAAAGGGAGAAGGAAGATGGGAGGAGCAAAGAGATGGAGGAGGAGAAGGAAGAGGAGGGGGAGGGGGAGGAGGAAGAGGAGGGAGGAGAAGGGAGGGGGTGATGGCAGTGTTGGGTAGTGGTGGTAAATTTTAAAAAAATATCAAAAAATTTTTAAATTTTAAAAATACCTAAAATATATCCCAAAAGCACCTCAAAAAATATCACGAAAAACATCTATGGTAAAAAGTTTTTATATACACTATTACACTAAAAAATTTCAAAAACCACCCCCAAAACAGCAAATCCAAACGGAGTATAAACCATTCCTACTACATAGAAAAGAAAAAAAGAAGTATATAGAAAAAAAAAATCTCACATATTAAAAAAGGGCATAATTTCATAAACCACCCTGAAGTTTCTAACAATTTCACTAGCCTTCCCTGAAGTTTGTAAAATTACACAAACTTCTCCTAAGATTAAGATTTTGATAACAAAATTAGTCCAATTAGAAAAAGTAACATTAAAAAAGTACTTTAAAAAGAGAGAAAAAACTTTTATTTCATAAATACCCCTCAGCCATGTATATAAATTGTATTAGTAAAAGAATGGAAATAATTAAAAGTTAGAAACAATTAATACACACATTTTACCACTTAAAAAGTTCATATTCAATAAATTAAAAACATAAATAAGCAACAAAACTGCACTAATGATCACAGGATTTAGCAAAACAGACTAGTCATCTTTTTTGACATGATGTTTGCTACAATTCTTGTGATTTTGAAAAGAAAAATTTTCAAATTTTGTCTTTCTTTTCCCTCCTTTTTCCTTTACTAATATCTAACAATTAAGTGATAAGAGCACTAATTAACTATTAGTAACTAATTAATGGAAATAACTATTGAAAATTTCTTTAATGATGAACAATCACTTGTAATTACAAAATACATCAATTAATAAATCTAATGGCATTATTTTGTGATTGATAAAATTTGACAATAACCAGAAATCAATTGTACATAATGTATGAAGAAGGGTTTTGGCAAAAGAAAAAATACAGGCCAAAAGAAGGTTTTTAAAATGATAAGAATCATAACAAACATCATATTAAAAGATATCTCTAGTTTATTTTGTTGAATCTTATGATCATTAATGTAGTTTTGTTGTTTATTTGTATTGTCTAATTTATTAAATTTGAACTTTTTGAGTGGCGAAAATGTGTGTATTGATTATTTCTAACTTTTAATTTTTTATTCTTTTTTTAATACAATTTATGTACATGCATAAGGAGTATTTAAGAAATAAAAATTTTATCTCTCTGCTTAAAGTATTTTTTTAATGTTATTTTTTCTAATTGAACTAATTTTATTATTAAAACCTTCACGTAAGGAGAGGTTTGTGTAATTTTACAAACTTCAATGGAGCCGAGTGAAATTGTTGAAAACCTCAGGAGAGGTTTCTGAAATTATTCCTTAAAAAATACAATTCTAAAAAAATTTGCATGAAATTATACAACGTGCCTTTCCAAGTGCTCACACGTGCCAAAGAAGCCCCTCAGTTCTTTACTCCACTTGGTGTCCCCATCCACCGCTTAAAAAAAGTTCCACTGAGATGAGAAATAGAAGAGTACAACTACTGCTCGCAGTATGCTTAAAAACACGCAGAGCACCCACTACCAAACAAAAACGATCACTTGTTACTGTTTTATCCTAAAACCCTAACCCCCGAAATCCCCCAAAATCTCCAAAACCCTACCATGCCTTTTCTTCTTCTATCGTCGTGATTTTATTCCATCGACAGAATCCAGAAATGGAAGTCGAACCATCCGAGGAAGAATCCTCCAAAACAGTAGCAAATTTATTAAGCGATATAGCGATAAAGGGTCCGTTACCATCATCAGTAGCTAAGTTATCGGGGTCTTCTAGGGGCATTCCTTCGGAGAAAGATTTCCATTTCTACAAAAATTTCAATGAATTCAAGACGCCCATCAAAGAAATCGACGATAAATCGAAAAGCTTGCTGGAGAGAATTGGTGTTTCGTCGCAATTGTGGGGGAAAGCGCTGGAATTTCCGCGGAATTTGGATTTTGATGATCTTGATGCGTATGATTGGTTGGTGAACATCAATGATGATGTTTTGGAGAAGCTTGATGCCTCACTCGATGAATTTCGCGTAGGAAGAGGTGAGGAGAGTGGCTTTCAAGTGGTACAGGGGAGAAAGAATAGGAGAGGAGTGACTAGTGGTAGTGAAGAAGCGGTCAGAGGAGTGCAGGTGGCTGTGAAGCCCAAGCCTAAAGTGCCATTTCATATAGCAACGATTCCGAGGCCTCAGGATGAGTATAAGTTTATTGTGAATAATTCCAATCAGCCCTTTGAGCATGTTTGGTTGCAGAGGAGTGAGGATGGTTCCCGTTTTGTTCATCCTTTGGTGAGTAAGGTTTTCAACTTTTTTATGTGATAATTGATGTGCATATCTTTCATCGTGTGATTATTAGGTTGCTTTCTTTCTTGGATTTTGCTATTTCATTTTGTCTTGAGCACATTTTGTTCTTTGTTTCTTGGATTTGTTGGAACCTATATTTACGTGTTTGAAGTGTCAATTTTTGGATATCAATTCATATGTTTGCGTTCTTCCTCCTCTGTAGCAGATAAATAAGCGCAAATTAACAAATACAAATGCTAATACTTCTAGATATGCACAAGATGCTGCACTCAGCCATCATTTGCTGATGTTTTCTTGCTTGGGTTGTAGTGTATAGTAGGACAGTCAGATGGCAAAGAAAGGTTTCCTAAAGTTAGATGCTCAATCATGTTTTGGTGCTTATCCATTTAGTTCAGGAAATAAGACTAAGTAGAATCTCACGTATATCTAAGATTTAACTATGTCAAAGTTATAAATTATCCATTTTCTTTGTTTGGGTCCAAGTTTTAGGTGTAAATTTTATTGACAGGGGAAGTACTATGGATGAGCATGGTACAATTCTCAAAAGAAGAAAAATTGAGACTAAAGGTGGTTGGTCTTATTCATGCATGTGGTGAACTCTTTATATGGAAGTTAGGTTTTTGGGTCTTAGAGGACTTGCAGGAGTTACATTTCAGTCCATCTCACAGATGCCTTGCGGCAAAGGATATGCAATATGGGTTTCAATGGTCCAAACGGTATGATTGTTTGGAATTAAGATATCTGGTATATCAGATTTTTGGTGTGGAGTAAATGATGCAATAGTTAGGTCTGTTTCGATATGTATCGTCAGAAAGTGAAATTTCCTTTGTAAAATGTCTTCAATGTTTGCTATTTTTAAAGTTCCTTTTGTGGTTGCCTGTGAATATTGGCTTATTGATCGATGGGGTATTCTGTGTCAATTAGCATGAAGTTAAAACCATTCTGGGACTTTCCCTCTAGATGGGAAAGGCTAGTTGTGCGGGCTATGACATTGTATTTGTTTTCAAAGCATTTAAGTTACAAATGTTTCTATATCATTTTACATGTTTGATGTACTGTCAATCAATTATAACGTTTGAGGGATTGCTTACTAAGTTATGTAAGTTGCATCCATGTAACCCCACTTTTAAGTCTTGACTTTTTGACCTGTTGTAGGTCACCTCCCATTTAATGCCTCTGGGATCCTATTATACTAATTTCTTTTCATGTGCTTTTTGGACTTTTACCTTTTAGTATGGCTCGGCTTTATGTTGTTGCTTTGAATTGAAGTAGCGGGTTTTGTTATTACAGTGTCATCCTTCTGTTGGTCTTTCTTGATAGCATCTTTGTTGAGTCTCCCTTAAATGCAGTTTACCTGTTTCTAATTTGCTCATATCTTCTAAGTGCAGTGACTTTCACTTTTGACAGATTTTGCGTGGCTGTCTGGTATCATGACACTCCTTTTTTGCCTGTTGTGTTCATTGTTACAGGGATTCTTATTCCTGTTATCTAAGTTTGTATGAAACAGCCAAAGTAGGGGTTAATGTAATTTTAGGAATGTGTGATCCTCAAATTGTTCAAAATCTTTTGGAATGGTAGTCTTTTTTCCTAAAATAATAATGCATGTAAGTAGTGTCCTTGGTTGTTGAGATTTTAAGTTAGAAAATAGTTAGGCTTGTGTATATTGATTGCTTAAAGTAAAGAGTCTGGGGCTTGTGGCAGAGCTTTATAGGATATTGGGATTGCGCAGAAGTTGGATTCCAATAGTTGGAGGTCTTCAATTTGTATGCAGAAAAAGTTGCTAAATTGATGCTGTCCTTAGTTGTTGAGATTTTAAGTTAGAAAATAGTTAGGCTTGTGTATATTGATTGCTTAAAGTAAAGAGTTTGGGGCTTGTGGCAGAGCTTTATAGGATATTGGGATTGCGCAGAAGTTGGATTCCAATAGTTGGAGGTCTTCAATTTGTATGCAGAAAAAGTTGCTAAATTGATGCTGTCTTAATTGCCAAATTAACTAATTACATTAGTTGATGAACTAGTGATATAATATGCCACAGAAAGTTGAAGCATTAGTTACAAATTCATTATTACTCTGCTGCATTGCTGGAAATTCTTTGGGATTCTAAATTGAGGATATCTTATTATTTTACTACCTGCTGTCGCAAAAGTAACTTTTTTGAAGCAGCCAGGAGAACAATAAAGTAGGCTCTGCTGTGGAAGCTGGTATGTAATCCACTTACATATCATTTTGCTCAAAAAATCTAGCCTCTAGCCTTTTAGTGCTCGCCATGCTTAGATATGGGACACAGTCTTTATATACTCCCAATGCTCCTTTTTATTTTATGTTTAGTTGACCGGGTTCATCTAGGATTTGAAGTTCTTGGACTTGATGTTTTATGAGGATACTTGGTGGTTTTGCTTAAAACAGTTGATTTCAGTTCTAGAGTTCCATGTTTTTGGGCCACTATTGCTTGATCTATGTTTGTGAAAACATGGACGCTAATTCATATTTTCTTGTATGCAGGAGAATCATTCATTCTTGGACTTTGTTGATAGAAGTACCAGCAACGTCACACCTGTAAAACCTCATCCACTAGAGTCTACGCCTTTCATGCTTGTAGAAGATGTCAAAGATTTGAAGAAGTTAGCTGCCAAGTTGAAAGTTGCAGATGAGTTCGCGGTAAATTTTTGAGCATGATGATTTTTCTTCCTACTTGTTAGTTACTAAGGACGTGTTATTCAGACTCTAAAAATGAGGGTTGTTTTAAAAATATTTTTAGTTTTTAATCGAGTTCTGAATTTAAAGTGAGAATTGGTACTCTTCATTGTTGGTTTTGATGCTCTTCAATTCTCGTTTCCAAGTGAGAATTGGTACCCTTCATTGTTGGTTTTATTTTTTTCCTGAGTGTCTATTTAGTCCTATTGTATTTGTTTGGCCTATTTCATTGCAAGATTGCTGAAAGAGTTGAACTTTAGGGGAATGTAATAGTACGGGAGTCTTGGAAAGTGCACTTGTTTGAAAAGAAATTGAACCTGCTGATGTTTAAAGAATTAATACTTGCATCAGTATCACACATCCATGTCTGATTGCTGCATTTCTTCTTTCCTGAAGGAATAGTACGAGAATCTTTGAAAATGTACTTGTTTGAAAAATAATTGGACCTTGCTGGGTTTAGAAGAATTAATACTTGCCTCGGTATCACACATCCAAGTCTGCTTCCTGCATTTCTTCTTTCCTGTGGGACAGTTTATTCACATAATCTGCTACACATGTCTGGCTGTGCTATGAATGTTTAGAAGCATGCTTGTGCCCAACCTGTGGAATCTGTGTAAGACCTGAGTTTCATTTTACCCAAAAGTGAAAAGTTTTGACTGCTACATTGAATATTACTGGTTGCTGCAGTGTTTCAACTGTAGACTGTCTTAGGCTCAATGATAGCCTACTGTGCCCCTATAAAGCTATATAATGCTGTGTAATTTGTACAAAGAATGCTTTGTGTTTGTTGTTTTTTAACCCCCACAAATGTTTGGGATATGGAGCTAGAATAGTTTGAAGATTGTATATTATGATGGATGGTTCAATGCTTAATTTGAATAATCTTCTTGTGTGTTGAATTTCACATAAGGGGCTACTGCTGAATTTGTTGTATTAATCTCGTTTCAAATGGGTTTGATGATTATGAGGGAGGTTTGAATGGGCGAAAACTTAATAGATCTATTTGAAAAGGTCAAGAAAGAAGATCAGAATAGTGCTTGGCCTTTTTTTTTTGGGGGTTGGGGGGGGGAGTTCTAAAGGGATAAGAATGAAAGATGAATATTATGGTTTGGTTGTTTATATCTTGCGTCTCAGTTTTTTAAAATAGCAAATCTTTTTTTTTATTCCAAAGATTACATTTTGATGGTGAGGAAAATAGCTTCCATAGTGTCTAATAAGTCATTACTAATTGGCATGGTTCCCTGAGTATTACGACACAGCTGTCTAATAACTTCTTTTGTCCTGCCAGATAGGAATCATATCTTTATTTTATTTAAACTGAAATTATTTGTTAAAGAAGGTAAACTGAATTCAATAAAATGATAAAGCAAGTTTTGCTTTTTTTTTTTTGGATTTTATTCTTAGGATGGATATCAAGAGATGTTCTGTCTGTATTAAGTTTGCATGAAACTGATTCCTTTTTGGATACAAATGTTTTTCACAATAACAAACAGAAGCAGACATGAACCGTCTGTGCCATTTTCTGCCAAGGGTAAAGTTGGGTCTTAGACATTTGTTCCGAGTCTTCAGCTTCTGCATGGTTCTTTGATCATGGGCATTCAGTTTTCTACACTTTTGGCTTTATATTGATTTGTCTACACCTTCCAGATTCAACATTAGATGGTTCTATTTGAGGCTGCGCCTGAAAACTACCTTGCTGTGAAATGAGCTACATGTCAAAAAGATATATGTATACATACTCGTATGCATTAAAAAAGCACACAGGGAGGCTATTCTGTTCTTTCAGTTTTGTAAATATGGGTGCTTGCTTTGTCATGTCATCTTTGAGAATGGTTGATCACTTGTCAAATTCATTATTTTGGAAATTTGTGCGCGTATTTACTTGCACCTAATGTTGGTATTTAGGATAAAATTTTTTGTGTTGTGTGCATGTTTCTTGCTGACTTTGAGCTGCACTTATTCCTGATTAATATTAGTGACTCGTTACTAAAGAGAATTGGATAGTTGGGTTCTTTATCTTTTATTTTGCTTGTTGATTAATTTTTGCTTTATTTTACCTTCTCATTATCCTTTTAAAAAAAAACTTGTATAGAGGCTTTAGGATATTTATTATTGCCTTAATTTCAAGTTGTTTCGATGTTCATGCACATCCTCAAGAGGACCATTTTTTTCTGTATCAACCTCAGTTTTTCAGTGTTAAAATTTTAGCAAGCTTTTAAATGTTTAGATGTTATAGTATGTTCTTATAAGCGCATTTTTGTAATCAGTTTCATAATTAAGCACTAGTTTTGGTGTGCCTCATATATAGGTTGATCTGGAACATAATCAGTACCGCTCTTTTCAAGGACTTACATGCCTAATGCAAATATCTACCAGAAGTGAGGATTTTGTGATAGACACGCTTAAGCTTCGCATTCATGTTGGCCCATATTTGAGGGAAGCTTTTAAAGATTCCAACAAGAAAAAGGTGAAGTTTCTGGATGTTTTTCACTCTGACATTGCAGCACTCTTGACATATTACTGTGCTTATTAGGTGATGCATGGAGCAGATCGAGATATTATATGGCTTCAGCGGGACTTTGGCATATATGTCTGCAACTTGTTTGACACTGGGCAGGTTGTTGGCTTAAGCTGCTATTTTTTGAACCAAGGTCTTTATTTGAATTTCTTTCTTGGGTTTTCAAGTTGCGCACATTTGTGATATTGTCAAAAAATATGGCCTATCTGTTGATAACTTTCGCTATTCCTTTCCTATTGGGATCTCTTATAGCAACCAGGCAGTAAGAAATAGTTACTTATCATGTGTGTTTGTCTTGATTTTCGATTGTGCCTTTCGTCATGGTGGCTTGAGTAATTATGTCACTATGGTACTTATGGGAATCAAAGGCATGCATTTTTCAAAATTACCAATTAGTCCTATTTGAAATTTCTTTGAAAATTGTATTTATCTTTTAGTACTATTTAACTTTATAGGATCATGGTTAAATTTGTAGTCCTAATTTCTTTTTATAGAACTACCTTTCAATGGTTTACCCTTAAGAGCTTCTAATGTTGAAATAGTACCTACTTTGTTGGAAGGAGAAGAATTATGTGGTGACATATGAAAAAAATTACTTCAGTCTTCGAGCATTTGCATATTTAACTCAAACTTGTGTTCTTTATATGATTGGGAACTAATAGTTTTTAAGGGGACGAGTTCTCACGTAATTGTTTTGAATTGAAAATGTAACTTGGAACCTAAAGCATTTGAACTTAAAAGGTGGATTGGACAAAAGAATTTCACCAAGATAACTAGGATGTTTTGGGGGTTGCTATGAAAAGTTGGCATTTTGGTCCCTAAAAAATGTGAAGGGTTCTAATGCCTTGTTAAGTTTGTAACATGACTTAATTTTAGTTGCCAACAATATTTGGTGCTGCTGCAGGTAGGTGCAACTGGTGTAATAGTACTTGGTCTTTCTTCACTTTTTTCGTCTCTGTGAATTGATTTAGTTTAACATCAAAAGGCTTGAAGAGATGGGTTCTGTTAGTAAGAAGGTATTAATGTTTTAAAACAGATGGGTGCACAAGTTCTTTGAAGGGCTTACTGATGTTTTAGCGGGCTGACCATGCGTTAGGTTTCATTTATCTTGCATTGCCCCCCGTTTTTTCTTCTCTTCTTTCCGATGCTCCCCAAGAATGAGTGCCCTGGATTGATAGTCATCTTCAGGTAGTGTGAGTGAATATTGTATGATCTGAATCTTTGATTGTTCAGATAATATGAATTTCGGATACAAATGGTCAGTGATTGTTCAGAGATTTGAGGAAATATAGCCAGGTTTATTGATTATTGCATTCTAGGGTGGGTAGATACCTTAGATTAAGGGTCACAGAAAAAGGTGGAGATTTTACCTGCCTGAAAGCCTTGCATGTAAGAAGGTCAAATCATTATGTTCGTGGAAAGTAGCATCTTATCTGACGCTGGATGCATGGGATATGAGTTATCATTGCAAGAGCTTTACCACATATGAGGTCCTATAAATGATGGAGCAAAAGATAGGTAAGATCTAGCCTATTAGTGCTAGTGGAAGAACGGGAGAATGGTAGGCATGTTTCAGGGCTGTGAACAGTAACGTGAGGAATAAGGAGAAAAAATCACACAATTAATTAAGAAAACTCAAATCGTTATTCATCAATCTGACTCTGCCCTGAACAAAGTAGAAACATTAATTTTTTGCAAGCATTTATAGAACTTTTTAGGAACTTCCCTATATGGTAAATAATTAGAAAAGACAATCATGACACGATTGCTGGAACTTTTGTGTGAACAAGTAAAAGAGAAATAGCCTTGAGATCCATAATTCGAGACTACTAAAACTCAGAATGAAACTGTGATGCCTTTCTATTGACGCAATCTTCCTCCCAATAAGGCTGCTAATTTCAACAGGATGGCTTTTTGATGTTCGAGGAAAAGCATGAAAATTATTAGGTGTAGGTTTGCTCAAAATTTGTGTTGAATGCGCCATTCTCTCCTGGTTGGAAAAAAACTCGCCCTTGAGTTTTAGAGAATTGTGGAATAAAGAACTTGAGGGTCTGAAACAAGTAGAAAGGAGAATTGCAGTTTTAAATGATTTTTTCTTGCCAAGGACAAAGTCAATTGTTGGAGTGAAATACAGAAATTTTTTGTGGAACATGTGACGCTACCACGTCCTCATTCGTATACTCTGTTATGTTAAACTCATTCTCCTTGGCTGTAACAAGGCTTCCCATAGACTTAGTTTCTGAAACTTTTTTCACAAGAGAATCCTTGCCTGCGTCCATCTTAGTTCTATCTTCAAAATTTTGAAGAGCCACTTTTGCCATATTCTTGACAAACTTGTCAAGGTCAGTGGTCAATTCTGAAAGTTTAGGTATAGTTTTAATTCACTGGAAATTCATCAGCAGCCAAAACGTTATGATATTTGCAGCTTTGGTAAGAGGAGCATTAACCAGAATCTGACTTTCTATTGTTTCTGCCTGTTGGATAAATGGGAAAGAGTGTTCTTCTTGCTGTCCAAATGGCATGACATCCTGGTTTGAAGCTACAGAAGTGTAAGACTGCCAGCTTCTTGTGAGAGGTTCCTATGCAATTTGGATTTGATGTGATAGTGGAGTAAACTTTAACATTCCCATTTAAGATATGTTGTTTTCTGCAAGAATATCTTTTGATGATGATAAGAGGGCAGGTAGTCTTCTTAGAGTACGCCTCTCATCTCCTTCCAAGTATAATTATGTCCTGTGTTGCATTGCATCTTGTCTGACCAATAGACCACTACATCTTAGCCCTCCCAACCAGCTTTGCTTGGCAAATAGGTTTTGTTACAATCCGCAAGATTATGGTAGTTGAAGAAATATCCCAGAGAAGCCTATCTATAGAATATTGTAGGATGACCTAAGCCATCATAACATGAAACAATTATGCTGATGTGGTAGATGAAAAATCAGGCCATCTACCTGACCATATAAATAAAGGAAGAAAAAATATGGCTGATGCGGAGGAAGAAAGTTTTGGCTGTGGATACCAAACTGATGTAGGACAAGATAGCTGAGATCTTGACCACTAGTGCTAGATGAAGAATGGGAATGGGATATCATGGGGCTGTGAACAGTAATGCGAGGAAAACGAGGGGGAAAAGAACAAAACTAGTACACCAAGAAAACTCATCTTTGTTCATTAATCTCTCTACCTAGAATGACTTATTTTTGTGTGCAATTAAATGTCCAAAATATCCTTAGGACCTAAAAGTCTAGAAATTACTACTACTTAGGGAATAGAACTACGATGAACATAAATATAGTTAATTGATGTATTCTTACTTCAAATGAGGCTGCTATTGTTTCAATTCAGTTGTTTTACGTGTTTTAGCGACTTCTAGAAGCTAGTGTTTTAGCGACTTCTAGAAGCTAGTTTCTTCACTTGATTTCCAGGTGCTATAACGTCAATCTGTTTTATGGCTGTGCAATTAGAAATCCATTTTCTGCACCTATGCTGTTGAATGAGCAGCTCCTTGATTGGTATGTTAATTCTTTTGTTATTGGTGCTATGATCCAGTTACTAAGATGTATTAGAGAATGAATCTCTGGATTTTAGGTGTCAATTTTAAACTCTCTAAGTTGTTTCTGTTTCTTTGATTTCTGGTTTACTGGTACTCTAGTTCTTGTAAAGTAAGCAAAAAGATGGTTAATGGTTCTCAAATTACATGCCAAGAAATAATGAGTAAAATTCTGCTGCTTTGTAATAATATGTATAGTAAAAAAAAAGAAAAATTGATGAAAAGGACATTGAGTGCTTTTGGATTTCCTAATCCCAGTAGAATATGGCGTTGATCCACCTTTATGCGACCTCATCATTGTCCTGTTATGATAAAAATTTGCTAGGTTTTCTATTTACAGTGTTGATGTAGAATTTTCTCTTTTATAGGCCTCAAGGGTATTGAAATTGGAAAGGAACAGTCTGGAATATTTGTTGCACCATTTCTGTGGAGTTACTGCAAATAAGGAGTAAGCATGTACTACTTGCAGCTAGCAAATGTTTGGCAGCATAAATGATTTTGTGCCCTAGAATTGTGCATTCTTTTCCCTCCCTACTTTCTCCAGCACAAATATATCTGATAATACCTTCAGATTGATCAGCATACCTTTTACAGATACCAAAATGCTGATTGGAGACTACGCCCCCTTCCTCATGAGATGCTCAGGTACGTCTGTGAAAGGGATATGTGGTCATTCCTTTCCTTTATTAAGCTGTGTTGCCGTGTAAGACACACAATAGTTATCAAGACTAGACATTTTAGTCAGTTCTGCTATTTGGTTCATTCTTGCCTATCAGCAGTAAAGTTGAGCTTATTGTTTTGTTTGTGTCTCTAAGTTGGTTTTTTGTCAGCAAGGTATTAGCTGGAACACAACTGTTAAGGTACTTTCAATGTGAACAATACATGAAAGGCCCAGTTGCTACTTCCCGAAATTAACCCATGTAATATCTTCTTTTAAGATTTCCTTGAAGCATTGGGTATTGGTTATCCATGTATATGGCATCCTTTCGTCTTTATGATTGCTACCCAAATGATAATTTGAATTGCAAATACAGGGTCGGTTTTTAGGTGTAATGGCATGTAAATTCTCCTTTGTTGAGGGTCTTAGTTCCTCAATCTACATTGCAGGTTTCAATTTTTGCCTGTAAATTATTTAGTATGGACCTGATAATGAAGAGAGGTTAACTAAACCTTAGTATTCTCTAATCTCTCCTTCCCCCATTCCAGTTTCCCTGTCTAAAAAATGTTAAATGTAGAATTACTGCTTCATAATTACCGTGTTTGTTTCTCTTCTACGTTCATATGATCTCAGATATCCAATATATGTTGGTATTGATTTGTGACTTCAATTTTATAGATATGCGAGAGAAGATACACACTACCTTCTGTATATCTATGATTTAATGAGAATGAAGCTACTATCAGCATCTAGTGAGACTGAAGATGTCAATCCTCCTCTCGAAGAGGTAGGCCCTTTTCTATTTTCTTCATTGGCTACCTGAGAAAGGCAAGATGTGGTTACCATTTGCTATTTTTGCTTATCAATTTTCTGTTTTCTATATTTGTCTGGAATAACATGTTGGATAAAGGCCTATTGGTCATGGGGTATGTAATCAGATTGGCATTTCATCTGAGGAGGAATTGTACCTGTATTTTTAATGTTTTGTTTAAGGCTGAGCAGTGCCTTTGATCAACTGGACCTTTGATCAACTGTGTCCCAGAGTAATCAGATTAATTCTCGATATCTTACTGGAAAGTACATAGCCTTTAGTTCATAAACTGTTGTAGATAAAGATATTTGGAAAATATAACAGATTGACCAAATACTTTGGTGTTAAGAAAAATATAATTGTTAATCTTTTCTTTTTCTTCTCTGGAGTTTGTGTACTGTGAATGCATCTTGGATCTCGTCCTTATCACTACCTGAAAATCATAAAAGAAGAAATGGAGGACACTATACTACTTTTCTTTTAAATTGTCCTGCATCTTAGTGGAGAATTGAACACTTCCATGGTCCACGTGGGGATTAATAATTGATGGGCAATAAAGAACACGTCTAGGTTTTGATGTTGAAGTATGGGAAGATATGCCGTAGAAGCAGGAAATCCCAACTAATAGTGGCATTGTCATCCCCACATTTGCCAAATAGGTGCTTGCTTTGTAACTGGCTAACTAAGGTGGGCATTAGTTAACTGTTCCAGAAGAATCTGCAAATATTTGGTCAAACTGCAAAGTTCTCCCCAAGAGCGTATGCATGGGACTACTGAGACTGTAGGTGACCATAATGGATATATTTGCAGTGGTATCACACTAATAGTGAAAGTTTGTAAACAAATTTTTAAAAATTAGTAAATAATTGATCGTTTAAGATACATTAATTTTTTAAAAGTTAATATGAATGAATACGTAGGATTATTGTTAATTTTTGTATTTAAATTATTCATATTTCTATAAATTAACTATAAATAAAAAGACGCCAAAAAAAACCCCGTACGCGAGCAAAGCATATGAAAATCAGGAAGCAAGCAGATTGCTGCAGCAGCAACCATGACGACGAAGTTCTGATATTCCATGAAAGCTACTCCTTAAGAGTCTTCCACTGCTCCAAATTCCCCTTCACGGAGTTACTGTAATTGATAGGGATGTAAACAAATCTAAACATATTGAACACTCTAATTTTCAAACTTGTTTAATTATTTTGACAAACTTGACTTGTTTCCTTCTTGAATCGAACTCAAACAAACTTTTATCAAGTCGAATTCAAATCTATGTCTAGTAGATTGAACTTTTTACACGTAAATTTTATTTGTATACTAACCGAGTTGAGCTGAAATGAAACTTAAAAGTTTGTCAAACACAAATTATTGTTTAAATTTGATTTGATCAAGTTTGATATGATTTAACTAACAAATCAAATTTGAAACTCTTATCAAACCAAATTCGATTTGATTATTAAATGAAATTCGTCTTTCAATCACTGTTGATTGGTGATTACATGTCAATAAATTATTGAAACAAACGACCACCTTAGACATAGATTGAGACCTGGACATTGAGATTTGGCCATAGCAATAAAGCAACGCCCGCCACCCTACCGTGAAGGGGCTTTTCTGATTTACTATGCCAAATACTTTGAATCAACTGATGCTACTCATGCTAATTTGTGACAAGTAAACTAAAGAGTGCCCATCATGCCCATCATGAATCAATTAAAGGCTCCGTTTGGATTAGCTGTTTTTGGGGTTGTTTTTCAAAAACAGCACTGTAGCATTTTGTTTTCGAAATACAAGTCTGTTTGGATTAGTTGTTTTTGGAGTTGTTTTTCAAAAACTATATGAAAAACTTTTACTAGAGATTTTTTTGGATTATTTTTAGAGGTATTTTTAAAACATATTTTTGGATATTTTTATAATTTACAATTTATATTTTTATATACATTTATACATTTATAATACATTTATAAATAATATATATTTATATATTCTCTAAAAAATATATAAATGTATTATAAATGTATTATATCATATATAATACATAATATAAATATATTTATAAATATGTAAGTGTATATTATTATAAATGTATAAATTATAAATGTATAAATTACAATTTATAATTTTTATATTTTTATATAAATATACATTTATGCATTTATAATACATTTATAAATATAATTACATATTTATATAAAATATATAAATTTATTATAAATTTATTATATTATATATAATACATAATATAAATATATTTATAAATGTATAAGTGTATATTATTGTAAATGTATAAATTATAAATTATAATTTGTAATTTATATATTTTTATATAAATATACATTTATGCATTTATAATACACTTATAAATATTTATAAATAAATATATTTTTGTATTTATATAAAAATATATACATGTATTATATTATATATAATACATAATATAAATATATTTATAAACGTATAAGTCTATATTATTATAAATGTATAAATTACAAATGAATATTATATAAATGTATAAATTATAATTTTATTAATATATATTAATATTAAGTATAAATGTATTAATATAATTAATATAAATGTACAAATGTATTAATATTATGTATAAATATAAAATTAATATTATGTATATTAATATAAATGTATAAATATATTATAAATGTATTATATTATATATAATACATAATATAAATGTATATTATAAATATACATTAATATATATATTATGTATAAATGTACATTTATATAAATGTATAATATATATAATATATAATATATGTTATATTATATATAATTTATATAATATATAATATTCATATAAATATATAAAATATTTATAATATGTATAAATAAATATATAAATATTTAATATAAATAATATACATTAATATTAATTATAAATATTATAATATTATAAATATGGTGTTTATATAATATTTCAATTTGTAATATTTATTGTATATTCCATTATATAAATATTCATATAATATATAATATATAAATATATAATATATAATTTTCAATTTGCATAATATACATAATATTGTATATATATATAATATAATATACATAATATACATTATTACATTATTACATATTATGTATATTATATATTATACATAACATTATTATACACAATACTGTACATAATAATATTATACATTAATAATGTATATATTATAATATAATGTACATAATATATTATGTATAAATATTTACACATTTATGTATACAATATTACATATTATGTATTCTATATTATATTATGTATAATATACAATATTATGTATAATATTAATTTATATAAATATTTATATAATATATAATATATATATAATTTTCAATTTGTATATTTCAATTTATATTAATATAATATAATATATATATATAATATACATATGTAGTTGTTTTTGATATAATGTTTGGATATGGTGTTTTTGGAGTTGTTTTAGAAATACACATTTACTGTAGCATTTGGAATGTGAAAAACAGTTTTTCAAAAACAGTCCAAAAAACAAGGGATCCAAACACACCCAAAAGTACTCAACAAATAGTGCTAACCTGCTGTCTAAGTCCCATCTTTGCAAAAGAGGGATTCTCTTCCTTCTCTCTAGGTTTCCTTCTCTACCCTTCCTCCTTCATAGGAAGGAGATCTTGGCCTTAAGCCAAGGTCTCCCTTCCTCTTCCTTTGTCTTTTGTTCTTCCTTTCATTCAATAAAGTCTCTTCTAGTGAGAGTTTTAGTCTCTCCTAAACTATCTTAATAAGAGTTTTATTTAGTTTTGTTTCTTTACTTTTCCAGATCTTGAAAATTTTTTAGATCTATATGTTAGATCTACAATTTCTTCAGTCTTCTCATCAGATCTCACTTTCAATATTGAGCTTGAACCAGTTGGATAACAGATCTGAGGAAATATTTCAGATTTGGATCAATCTCGGCAGATCTCACCATCTTTATTAGACCTTACAACTGTTGATTAGCAGATCTGACGATTACAGCATGCACAAAGAGAGCTGCAACGACTTATTCTATGATGAAATGTTTTTCAAATTTATGGTACTTTTTAGATCTATTCTTAATTTCTCAAATCTTATGTATTTGTTAAATTGCAAATCTATAATTTTAGTGCATGTTTATCTGCCATCAGGACAACAATGTATCTCAATTGTGCTGGACGATTTCCAGTAATCCTTGAATGAAATATGTTTTATTATCAAAAAAAAGTACTCAACAAATAATTCAAGTATGTAGACCTTAGGATGAAAATTGGAAAAGTTCAGGTATTTGGTACCATCAATATTCGATTTTTCAACATTTAAATAGTAAAATACAACTAGTGAAAATCTAATGCATCCTGTCACAATTATTTCCAACAATTAAATGACATGATGATAGTGAAACCTAGTATTTTCTTCATGCATGACTGATTCTTTGAAAACACCAAGGGGAGAGGTCCAACAAGAACAGTCACGGTTGAGATCTCCGCACTTGGTTTGTTTGGATTGAGCATTATTTTCTCAATTTTATTTGCTTACATGAGGTTTGTTTGGATTGTAAGTTATTTGGGATATTTTTACTGTAACACTTTTTGTGATGTGATGTATGTGAGATAAAAAGGTAATTGGGAAGATAAAAAGGTGTATTAGAAATTATAATGATAATGTAAGCAAATAAAATTGAGAAAATAATGCTCAATCCAAACAAACCCATTATCATTATAATTTCCAATACACCTTTTTATCTTCCCAATTACCTTTTTATCTCACATACATCACATCACAAAAAGTGTTACAGTAAAAATATTCCAAATAACTTACAATCCAAACAAACCCATAGAAAGAAAATGACATTCCTCTTTCCAAAGTAAGGAACTGCAGGATCGTCATTAACAAACTCCAGGGTAAACGCACCAGCAAAGTAATGCAAGTAAAAATGATAAATAGAAAAGAGTTGTTTTTTCAAAACAAAAAAATAAAAAATAAAAAATTAAGAATCAGTGTACAACAATTGGTCTCATTATTTATTTAAAAAAATTGCAAGATTAGAGGGAAAAAAATAGAAATTAGCTCTCAATTTCATGCAAAAGACAAGTAAATCAATCTGTGCAGTATTCTTTCACAAAAATATAAGAGAATGCTGAGCTGATTTTTTTGGTATAACTGGCCTTTCTAAGCAGGCTTTCCCACCAATAGAAACTTTCAATGGTATTGGGCAGTTGCAAAGACTGCTATAGCAACCATCAATTTTTCAATTACAAATTCAACTAGAAATGGAAAAAATTGAGAACAATGATTTACCGTCTGCTGGTTACATTGAGCACTAGACGCAAAACTGCAGTAAAAGAAGGCAGAATATGTACGGTTGAATATAGTCTAATTGATTTTTCAAGATGCTATGATGATATTTAGGAGTCATCTTTAAGATGTCAGGATGCTAACTAGAAAAGCTTGCAAGTTAATCAACCATCATCTGTATCACTTTCCAAAAACTGACCATCTTGGCTGAAGACATAGGGACTTCCATCAGGACCCAACACCTTAAACCTAATCAAGCAAGAAACAGCAAACACTTTAAGTACTAAATACAAACGTTAATATATAACCACAGAACTAACTCGATACCTTTCAAGGATATATTTTCCTTCCTTGTACTTTTGGCTCTTTTCAAAAGCAGATTCCTGACATTTAACGAAAAGATATAAGCAATAGTATAGAGAAACAATAAATTGCACAAATGAGTGCTCATGAACTCACATATTTCCACCCAACAAGCGAGCCACAACCCACACAGAATATGTCAACCACAGTGT